TTGGAAATAAAAACCTGAAATCTGCAATGTCAGTGTCTTTTTTGTGTAGAATATATATACAGTAGTGGTCAAAAAGTTTGGCCTCACCCATTCTCGTTTGCTAACGGCATCGCAACAACACCAATAGCGCCAGTTTTCTTCTCTAGAAAACTTGTAGTAAATAGCATTTTCTGAAACTGAAAAGCTATAGAGGACAAAATTCTACGACACACCCTTCCGCGAGTTGATTTTTATTTCCCCATGCAATTTTAACACTATTTATTCGAGCTTTCAATTCTTTAACACTTTGACACTACGGACACGCCGAACACGAGCCCAGCGGCAAAATTTACCAGGACAGCAATCATTCGTGCCTGATGCCTGATCGTCTTGCTTTTCTCCAAGCTTTGCAACGTCTTTAAAACTTTGTAAACTCATCAAAACACGCTATTTGGGTGATTTTTAGTCTTTTGAAAATAAAAATAGCAATATTAAAATATAAAAACTGATGATTGCCTTAGAAAAAATATGATTTTTTTATGATCACCGGGGCGCGATTAATCCCCTTCCTTTAAGATTGGATGGAATGCCATTTTTTCAACGTAGAAACGTAAGAAACGAGTAAAATAGGTAGTTCAATATTTTCTTAAAAACTTAAACCCTAGTACTATCTAACAACAAGTGGAAATCTGCAACATAAATGATTTCTATAAATTCTTGCCAAAAAAGAAGCAAGTGTTCTCAATTTTCTGATGCACTCAATTCGTCATTTTCTCTTGGTGCCGCAAGAAAAATGATGAATGAGTGCGCCAGAAAGGGTGTGTTAATGAATCTGGGCACAAAGTACATCTCAGAGGTTTCTGAACTGTTATTGAAACTTTTCAAGAACTTTTCAAGAACTTTTCAAGACTTTCAAAGTGTCATTAACGGCGGAAATTCGAGCATTACTTTGCCTTTTAATTGATAGAGCGAACGCAATTACACAGCGTCGCGTTTGCGCATTGATGCTTTTCCAAATAAATGGCAAAATGTGATACTTAATAATGGTGATTACCTTGAATAAATACTTGTTTTGAAAAACTACAGATCAAAAACTTTCAGAAACATATCGGCCAGCCTCATATTAGGTTGTTTGGAATGAAAATACCCTTTTAATGAAAAACAAATTCATCTCCACAAAAAGAAAACAATGCGCTTTAATCCAAAAGATATTCTCCTTTGTTGGCAATAGTCTTTCTCCATTTTTCTTTCAAATCTCGGATCCCTTTGCTGAAGAAATCCTGAGACTGAGTCGAAGTATTGGCCAAGCCAAATTCAGACTTCGTCATGGTCCTTGAAGTGTTTATCGGGTCAGGAAGTGCTGCATAGATCGAAATAAGTGGTAGTCTAAGGAAGCCAGATCTGCACCATACGGCGGATGCGGGAGACATTCCCAACCCAATTCCTCGAGTTTTTCCTGCGTCTTTGCTGTGTGTGGGCGCGCGTTGTCTTGCAGATACCTCACAGTCGATGTGTTTACACCTTGATTCTTGAGAGCCTGGTCTACTCGTTCCAGCTGTTGCTCATATAGATCTGAGGTGACTTTTCGGTGACCAAATTCAGACTTCGTCATGGTCCTTGAAGTGTTTATCGGGTCAGGAAGTGCTGCATAGATCGAAATAAGTGGTAGTCTAAGGGTGCCAGATGTGGACTATACGGCGAGAATATTATGCAACGAAAGCTGAAAAAAATCTATGGTGAAATAAAAGAAATTTTCGGTACTTTCCCTAAATTCATTAACGTCATTAACGGCGGAAATTCGAGCAAAGACTGGCTGAATTTTGCGCTGAAATGTTTACATTGTTGATTGGTTTTTTCGAAGAATAAATGGTCTATTCTTGTTTTAAACGTAGAAAATCTAAAACATTGCACAATTAGCGGATAGAGAAAAGCTCACCGAAAAATAATCGCCCCAATTTTCTTTTCTTTGACTTGAAGAGAGATGTTTGAGCAGAATAATAGATGCACGTGCAAGAACTGCAAAAAAAGAAGCTTTTTTTCACTTTTCTAAGCAATTCAAATTGTTTTTAAACTAGAATTTTTTTCCCCTGGCAAATAAATCGTTTTCTAAAACGTGACGACTTTCTAAAATTACCATAATCAATTTTTATAAAGCTCTCCCAAATTTCGAGCAGATTTGCTGACAAACCACTAGCTTCTTGCCTGATTTTACTTACCTGGCTCTGAAAAATCCATGAACTAAAAATAAATCGATGAACTAGCTCAGGCATAACTTTTTATAAAAACAGCTAGCAAATGTCTAATTTATTTTATAAATATTAAATGTTATATAGAGATTTAAAGCCCGAAATCTTGCCTCCATTTACAGGGTGCAACGTTGAATAACGCAACGGCTCGTTCTTTGATCTCCTCTGATAGATTGGAACGTATTGGTATTCTAAAACATATCAGAATTAGAAAAAAATAGAAGGACTTTGGACTCCAAACTTTTGGACCCAAAACTCCAAACTTTTGGACCCAGAAAATAAAAACTACAAAAGCTCAAGTAAAATCAAATGAAGTTCCAGAAACTAGATAAAAAATGACGCAAAATATGCGTTTGGTGAACCCATAATACTTTCATCCAACGCGCTCTGGATGCGTTTTACTTTCTCAACTGGTGGTGTGTCTAAACTTTTGGACTCTACTTTATAGTGTTGTGCTTAATGGATCTTTTTGGCTCTCTAAGGCAATACATTAGCCTAAACTGAAAAACAACAATTAATCATTAAAATCTATGCATAACTTTACATAGAATAGAAGAATTGTAAGGCTTTTAATGACTTTAACAACCCTAGCCGAGCAGTACAAAAAATGTTATGCGGCATGCTGTAAAACAGTCAAATTCGAGTTTGGGTTCTCTAAAAATCGTTTTTTTTTCATTTTTTTCTTTATTAATATGTTTTTAGAGTTAATTACTTTAAAAGTAGTGATTTTTGAGCTTTATTATTAGCGCAACAATTGTTTAAGTGACTTACAAGATGTCCGTCTATTAGAGGAATACCCCTTCAATAATTATGTTTAATAAATTTGCTCAATTAGCATTAAAAGTTGGTTAATTGGCATTTATCGGATTGTGGTCGGATTCGGACGTCCGAAATCGACCACAAGATAATCAACGGCCGGATTGGGACGTCCGGATCGGATTCGGACGTCCGAATCCGACCACACTCATTCTGGTCGGATCCAGACGTCCGGATCAGATCCGGACGCCTGGTCGGATTCGGACGTAACATATCTATTTCTAGGATTTAAAAGCGATTTCGTGTTATTAAATTTCATAGCCAAAAAATGTAAAATTTAGGGGTGGTCCTATCATTTTGCAACGCACCTTATTGCGCTTAATGGATCTTTTTGGCTTTCTAAGACCTAAACTGAAAAACAAACTGCTAAATCTAAACTGCTTAATGGATCTAAACATTAATCTAAACTGAAAAACAACAATTAATCATAAAATATACGTGTAATTTTACATAGAATAGAAGGACCGTAAGATTTTTTTAATGATTTTGACAACTTTAGCCGAGCAATACAAAAAAATGTTATGCGGCATGCTGTAAAACAGTCAAATTCGAGTTTGGGTTCTCTAAAAATCGTCTTTTTCCATTTTTTTTCTTCATTAATATGTTTTTAGAGTTAATTACTTTAAAAGTAGTGATTTTTGAGCTTTATTATTGCAAATGCGTCTTATCTTGGCTAACAAAAATGAAAACATTTTTGACAAATTTGAATCTAGTGAAAAAATGTCCATAGATTCATTAATATGTTAAATATCTAAACGAAAAAACTGTGAACGCTTTTGGTTTTTGCGAAATAATCCTTTTGTAGAGTGCAACACTATATATGGGATACCCTGTACATATCAAAAGCTTTCGAATTGAAGTCACATAACTTATTGCGACAAGTTTTTGAGTGAGCACTATTCTTTCCGGCATGCTGCCATTTTTGACGATTTTCTTTATCAAAAATGTTTGTTTAGAAAAGCTTTCCCAAAAGAATTTTACATTATTCTTGTTCAAAAAATGAAGTTAAATGAATTTATAGAGCTAGAGCAGCATATACATCAAAATCTGGATTCAAATTGAACATCAAAAAAGGTTCAATTTTCGCTTTTTTCCTTGAGCTTCAAAAAACTTAAAATCAAATTGAATTTTGGTTGGGAAAGTTTGAGAAAACAATTAGTTCATATTCTTATTATTATTAAATGATAATAAATGTTACATTTTAATAAAATAAATAACAAAAAAGCTCTTTCTTAGAAAGAAAATCATCAAAAATGGCAAAGAGAAAGGAAAGAGACCGAGTAGTCCTCACTCAAAGCTTGTCACATTAGTTATATGACTCGAATTCAAAAGCTTTTAGTATATAAATGTAGCCAAGATTCCGGGCTTTAAATCTTTATTAAACACTTACCACTTTTGAAATAATTTAGACCTTTGCTAGCTGCTTTTACTAGCTTACTGCTTTAGTTGCTTACTTGCTAGCTTTAGTTGTGCTTGAACTTTCTGGAAATCCTGTAGAAACCAAAGCTGGCTTTTGGTAAACTATAGCTTTTTTTGGCTGCAACCAGGATCAGCTGCAACATTCCTAGACTCAATTAAAGCCAAAATTGGGGTGAACGAATGAAACTGGACGATTGGGTTGACTAATTGCTTGACTACGATAGTTTTCGAAAAAAGTATCACTTAGAAATCGAGAATCTAATGATCAGTGCTTTCTATATTGTGCTTTACTAATGATTTCTTTTCTTTCTTTTCTTTCTTTTCCCAGCTTGTCTAGAGTCAGCTGTTCACCGCCCAATACAACGAGTAACTGAAGAGAGAAATGGAAAGAAATGGAAAGGTCGACTGAACATAAGACAAGGAGGCACATTTTACTCAAACTATATTCAGAAATATTGAAATGAAGCTTTAATTTAATTATTTGATTATTCAACATCATTAAAAACTGAAGCTGATTTTCCATTGAACTATTTCTCCAAAATGGGATTCTGGTTGATGAAACCGAACAAAACGATCGATAAAATCCCCGAGCCGGGCGACTATCGGATACAACCGTGCACAAAATTCAGCTCAAAGGTAAATTCAGCCAAAACTCAGCCAAAATTCAGCCAAAATTCAGCTCAAAGGCTCAAAAGTTAAGTTTTTTGGGTTCAAAAATGACCAAAAACAATCAAAAATGATCAAAAAAATGACCTTTTTTAAACTTTTTTTTTTGAGAGAAGCTGAGCTAAAATGTTTTCTAAAAATACTTGGAGAATCTGAATTTGAGGTCAAATTTGCTTAAAAATTCCTAGTTAAAAAGTTAAAAGGTTGAAAAACTGACCTTGTGATGAACTCAGGAGACTCAAAAATTTCATGGTAAGAACTCGAAATAGACAAGAGATTTTAGGCTCATAAGATTAGAAACTGGTTAAAACTCCAAAAAAGCCAAGTGAACTTTCTGCCCTAAAAACCAAGCTCACCCATTGTCCTCCAGTCAAATATTGAGCGTTGTCCCGTTGGCCGATACTTTGGCTGATCAAGATAGGAGCCATCCGAAGTACAGCAAAGCCCTTTAGAGCTTTCGTTGAAATGTTCACATGATTTGATTTGGTTAAGGTATAACTTTTCTTTTGAGTGTTGATTGATTGTTGATATCTTAAAAAGGGTAAAAAAATATCGCCATCTACTAACGTCTAAATCATTTTGAGCTTTACTTTATGTGAAATAATGAAAAAAATATTGTCAGACAGCTTTTTAGACAGTTTTTTAGACAGTTTTTCAGGCAGTCTTCACCGTAATCACATTTCTATACGTACTGCTGACAGCAGCGCTTTGTGTGATTCTATTGGCCAAGCAAAAAGTATTCGACATTGATCCAAGCATCCTTGAAGTGATCCCGTTCTCATGGGTAAGTTGTGAAGATTTTTAAGGCCATAATGGTTTGAGTACTGTAAAAAATTCTTCTCTTTCTTCTCAAAAATCTAAAACCACTCTTTCTAGTGAATTGGATTTCATTTTAGTCAAAAAAATGAATGTGCGTATACGCCAGAAAGAAGTGTTTACAATTTTTAGCGCAAAGTACACGTAAACATAAGAGAAAGATGTGTTATTAGATGCGTTTGAACTTTTTGAGCAACTAATTCAAGTACTAAATAGTACAATCGTACAATCGAGGCGACAAATAGAGTGAGATAGATTAGAATAAAGTTTTAGGTAACATTCGTGATCGCCGTCTTTTACACATTCATTTGCATCATTACGATCAAAACGCTGAAACCGGGATTCGCGCAGCTTTTGATCCCGGTTACGGTAGGGTTACTAGCTTATAAAATAAACTACCTAACTTCTAAAATATCCTTACAATTTCAAAAGCTATCCAGGTGATTCTTGTCGTTTTTTGCCTCTTCGATCTCTTCGGCCGACTGGAAAACCAGAAAAATCAGTAAGTACTAAAAAGTTTTGAAATCTCAAAAATTCTTTAGAAAATACGATGACGGACTTGAGGAGATTCTCGTGAAAATCAGTGAGTCAAACCTAAATTTAACTCTTCATTTCAAATTTATCTCTTAAATTCAAATTTGAAATCAAATTCCAGAAGGTATCATGCAAATCATGACGCTGCTCTCGATTTTCCTTTGGTGCTTCAATTTGTTGTACTCTTTCTATTCGTATATCAGGTTTTTACTTAATTTTTTTTGACTTTAAACTTTAAACTTCAATCTTTAGTGGTAAAGTTACCATGTCTCACTTGGAGTGTTTATCTAGACTAATCCCTTTTCTAAAACTTGCCCAACTACCGTAACCTTGACTCTAATTTGTATCTAGTTTTATTCTTTAGAAAACATAAGAAAAGGCAATCAAATTCAAGGTAATCCCAAAAATTTGGACATAGTGACTCCAAGAAAGTGGGAAAGTTTAGTCGCTGGGTTATCGGAGATTTGATACGCGCCCCGCCCCTTTTGATTAGCGATCTAACTTTGAGCTCAAATATCTTGGTGTTGGCCTGTTCAATTTAAATATTCTTAATATCATTGGATGCGCCAAGTCTTTCTCTGTCGATTGGTATAAAAAGTATTTAAATTGAACAGCCCAACACCAAGAAATTTGAGCTAAAAGTTGGATTGCCAATGGCAAAAGGAGCGGGGTTCCACATAAAAGGTAAAAGGTTTTAAAGGTCCCACAATGACCCTGCCCTTTCCCATTGGCAATCCAACTTTAAGCTCAAGCTTCGGCTGTTTCAAGAGATGACTACAGTACACCAAATAAAGTATTCAGCCAGCAAAGATGGCTGTCCAAATTCTTCAATAAACAAAAGATATTCAACTTTAAACAACTAAATACTTTTTTTGACAGGAGACTTGGCTTTAAAATGTTCTGATAAGCTAAACCAGATCTTCTCCAGTTTAAATATTTAATATGGGTTATCGGAGATTTGATACGCGCCCCGCCCCTTTTGATTAGCGATCTAACTTTGAGCTCAAATATCTTGGTGTTGGGCCATCCAATTTAAATATTCTTAATGCCATTAGATGCGCCAAGTTCTCTGTCGATTGGTACAAAAACTATTTCAATTGGACGGCACAGCACCAAGATATTTGAGCTCAAAGTTGGATTGCCAACGGCAAGGGGGCCGGCGCATATCAAATTTCCCACAATCCAGTGGCTGGCAGCTCTTTCCCCTTTACGCATTCAAAAAGGCAAGCTCTTTATACCAGAGTCGTTTACCAGATCACGAGCCATTACGCGACCGCACAAAGAACACCTCGCCAGTAATTTCTCTTTTGCTTTGTAGATAGCCCAAAAAAGAAGATATTTAGCTGTAAATTTGTACCCTAGGGTTTTCGGGGTCGGCGAATCGATTGAAGCTATTCATCTTATTCAGTCTTTCATTGAGTTTAAATAAAATCGTTCAGAGACTGTCAACTCTACAAGGAGCAGACTCGAGGTGCATTGCACTATTTTTAAGAGAAAATTGAGAATTTGTTTTAATAAAGAGATTTAGATCTGTTTGTTTACATTGAGCACAAAGTACGCAAGCTTTGGTACACAAAATTTCTCCAATTTTCTCCGATTTTCTCCAATTTTTCAATTTCAAGCCGTTTTCCCATCCGAAATGTGAAAATTTTTCGGATTCACGGCGATTTTATAAACAAATCGTTTGATCTGCTGAAAAATTGCAAAGAAAACTTTGAAAAGCTCAAAATTCTTCATTGGATCAAGCTATAAATTCATTATTTAAGACAAAAAGCCTCGTTTCAAATGTATAATTCTTCTTTTCCTATGTAAATTGGGTTGAAAATGTTCATTTTCTGGGCACGCAATGTCTGACAAAATACGAAAAAGGAGAATCAGAATTAAGACAAAAATTTCCCTTTTTATCTGTTACAAGGTACATTTTCTTTTGTTGTTGTTCTCTTGTGGAAATGAACTTTAATTGTTGCAAATGTTTTTGCAAATCTTCAATCTCTTTGAGCTTTGAGTAAAGGCTAATTTTTGATTGGACGACACTTTTTAAAAGGTAAACAGGACTTAAAAAAATTTATAATGTAAAGTTTTCCTAGTCAGGATTGAACTCTGTGTTGCTAAATGCTAAATTCGTCTAGCAAAATTGCTAGTAAATTGGTAAATGTTAGATGGCTTTTTCGGAGCATTACCTTGGCCACCGATGCTTTACAGCATCGCTAACGCTTTTCAATCAAAGTATATAGTATTCAGTCTTTTCCTGAATACTGAACGTTTTTTGCGAAATTTTGCAGGTATTATAGAAAAACTGTAAGGGGATATAGGAGTACTGTAATTTAGAGTTTATAGAAGGCTGTAGGGGATTAGTGTAGATCGAGAGAGGTAATAAGGAAGGTATTGTAGAACAACAATAGGAAAACTTTCTGGCTCGCCTTCGACCTGTATTTTCTCTACTTTAAGAGTCTTCCCCCTCCCACGTGCCTCGATAGCTCAGTTGGGAGAGCGTTAGACTGAAGTGGTCCTCAGCTATCTAAAGGTCACCGGTTCGATCCCGGTTCGGGGCATTCTTTTGACTTTTTGGCATTTTTCCAAATACTATTGGTCAATCCGAGCTCCGGTCCGATCGTTCAAATTCTAATAGTTCTAATGTCCAATAGTCAATCTGAAAGCTTTCGAATGAACGCTGATGAAGCTGCAAATACTTTGGAGAGCCAACCGCTACCCTAGTACCAGCAATCTTAAATCAGTAATTTATTTTTAAAAAAAGCCCTGTAAACATGCCCTTCGATCGGTACTTTCCTTTTCTTAAAAGCCACCTGCCTCGATAGCTCAGTTGGGAGAGCGTTAGACTGAAGTGGTCCTTAGCTATCTAAAGGTCACCGGTTCTATCCCGGTTCGGGGCAGCTTTTTTGTTTTTTAGGCATTTTTCCAACTACTATTAGTTTTTTTTTAATTAGAAAAATTTCATATAGAAATAGGTACAGTACTGGACAATGAAATATCATATTTGAAAAACGATCGTCACTTTCGCGCCTCTGTAACTACCTTGTCTTTGAGTTTAAACTATTAGTGTTATACATTTTCTGAAAGCTCTTTTCAAGGGCTACACAATGGTAATATTAATATTTAGAAATATGATATTTTTTGACGCATTTCAGCGCGCACAAGATGGGATACGCAAAATTGTTGATTTTCAAAGCCGTTTTTCTTTATGATAGAGTGCTGGAATCGCTTTGAAACTATGATTTTCGGAATCTACGCAAAAATTTACCTTAGAATCATCAATATTTGTAAAATTTTTTCACAGTTTCATAGCGAAAAAAGCCACATTTGCGAAATTCTCACTTCTTGAGCGGTCAAGCGAGGAAGAAGCTGGAAAACAAATATTTAACAAAAATGTAGTTAAATTAAAAAGTAACAAAAACAGTAACAATAATGAGAAAACCCCAGAGCACACAATGGGCTTTCAGTATTTAGTAGCAAATCCTTTAGCGTCGATTACAGCTTGACATCGCCGAGGCATTGAATCAAGAAGATTAGTGATGAAGCTGACGGCGATTGAATTCCAAGCCTGCTCCAATTGTGCAAACCTCTCATCGGCATTGCCGGCTTTGAGATTCTTAGTTCGTCGCTCAAGTTTCGACTTTTCGAACTTTAGATCGTTATAGAAATCCGGAGAGACGGTAAACTGTTCCGATAACTGGTTCTGGCTAAGACCTTGCTTTTTGCCGTTAAGGATTGCTTGTTGTGTATGCACATGAAGATCCTTGCATCCTCGTTGCTTTTCCATTGCTCCTAAAAACAGTAATTATTATCATTTTACCCAAGGCAAAGAAAGAAAAACATTCAAAGTTGCACGCAACACAATTTTTGTGAAGAACCGCTCAAGAAGTGGAAATTTCGCAAATGTGGTTTTTTTCGCTATGAAACTGTGATACAATTTTACAAATTTTGATGATTCTAAGGTAAATTTTTGCGTAGATTCCGAAAATCATAGTTTCAAAGCGATTCCAGCACTCTATCATAAAGAAAAACGGCTTTGAAAATCAACAATTTTGAGTATCCCATCTTGTGCGCGCTGAAATGCGTCAAAAAATATCATATTTCTAAATATTAATATTACCATTGTGTAGCCCTTGAAAAGAGCTTTCAGAAAATGTATAACACTAATAGTTTAAACTCAAAGACAAGGGAGTTACAGAGGCGCGAAAGTGACGATCGTTTTTCAAATATGATATTTCATTGTCCAGTACTGTAGATTTGATGATTTGTAGTTGCTGGCTGCCGGATTGGGTATAAAAATGAACTTTGGGGTCATTTCGTTGAAAAACAGCTTGTTGTGCTTTATAAAGCCAAAATAAACTTTAAAGATCTAGAAAACAAAAGAATTAGTACTCACTTTTGAGCTTGTGAGTTGTTAATGACTGAAAATAGTCGATGAGTCAAAGTTAATGCAGAATTTGAGATGGATAACGGTAGAAAAGCCATTACTTGTGCTAGAATGACCTAGTTAGATTAGAGAAGCAACTCTAATCTAACTAGAGGGATTTTAAGACAAAAAAGCTCTTTTCTTCTTTACCAAATCATTTTTGTTCATTTCTTTTCTATTATTACTTTGTAGTTTGTGCAATGAAGCATAAATTTGGCATGAAACTGTTCTAAATTTCAAATTTACTTCAAAAATCCCTTGACGTTTCTTCTCATTAGTGACCTTTCAAAAAAATAAACGAAACGGGAAATGAAAAAGCTGAAAAAGCTAAACTCTTCTTCTTTCTATCAAAGCTAAAACTTTTAATTTGACCAAAATCCAGTTTAGAATTGTAATTTCATAAAAAAAACGTTTTTAGCTATCAATTTCGGTTTTGAAATAATACAAATGAGTTTCAAAAAAGTTATGAGATTCATAAAAACCCTGGTTTCCAACAAAATCTAAATCAAAACTAGTTTTGCTCTAAAAAAATTCAAATTATTTTCGTTTTACTTGCTTCATTTTCTTCATTGATTATTTTAAACAGTGTTTATTTTAGATTACTGTAATGGAGATTTATTGGAGTCCTTCAAATTACACCAAAGCTGGCATTGATCAAGGTGTCTATGGAATCATTACAATGTAGGTTTCAGAAAAAGCGAAAATTTCAAATTTTATTGACACTTCACCAACAATATTCAATTCCAGTTTACCAGCTTTTCCACCATTTCTTTTCCTTCTCTACATCCAATTCACAAAAAAAGAACTCTTCTCAGCCTACAAGGTTCAAGATTTCCCACTCAGCTTTCAATTACGTTTTTAGTATTCAGTTTTTGCGACAAGTTATATTTGTTTCTCGGCGCATATGGTCAATTTAATGTCTTTCATTTGGTTGTACTATGCTGCAACTGTGCAACCACCGGTGGGTCGTTAATTTTTGAATACGATTTGAAAGTTGGCTATATCGATATTGGCTATGTATAGGTAATAAACGATGAGTGAGTTAACATAAATAAACTAATTGTTAGCTCTTTCACCTAGTATTGTTTAGAAACAATTTTTCCGGATTAAACAGGATGGGCAAGGTGATTTCAGGTTAGGGTTTGTACTAAGCCCTGGTCCTGGCCGCCCTGGTCACCTGGTCCTGGTTCTGATCGCCCTGGCCACCTGGTCCTGGTTCTGATCGCCCTGGCCACCTGGCCCTGGTCTTGGTCCTGGTCCTGGTCTTGGTCCTGGCCGCCCTGGTCACCTGGTCCTGGTTCTGATCGCCCTGGCCACCTGGTCCTGGTCCTGGTTTTGATCGCCCTGGCCACCTGGTCCTGGTCTTGGTCCTGGCTGCCCTGGTCACCTGGTCCTGGTTCTGATCGCCCTGGCCACCTGGTCCTGGTCTTGGTCCTGGTCCTGGTTTTGATCGCCCTGGCCACCTGGTCCTGGTCCTGGTCCTGGTCTTGGTCCTGGTCCTGGTCTTGGTCCTGGTCCTGGTCTTGGTCCTGGCCGCCCTGGTCACCTGGTCCTGTACAACTTAGTACAAAACAACAGTACTTTAGTTGTACAACAAGTCTGAGCCCAGAAAAGTCCTAGAATTCGCCGGAAGACGAATCTGACCAAGCTTGACAAAGCCAAAACTATTCCTAATCTGGTTTTTGAATCTAAATTACAGTGGCCATAACCAGCCATAACCATCTACCCTAACTTGAGAACCCACCGGTGAGCCGTTTATTTTTGAATAAGATTTGAAAGTTGGCTATGTCGATAGTGGTATAACGATATTGGCTATGTATAGGTAATAAGCGATGAGTGAGTTAACATAAAGAAACTAATTGTTAGCTCAGTATTGTTTAAAAGCAATGGGCAAGATGAGTGCGGGTTAGGGTCAAGCTTAGACTTAGGTCTTGATAAGATCAGATTTGTTGTACAACTAGATCAGTTGTACAACAAGTCTGATCTTATAAAGATCTTATCAAATGGATTGAAAAAACTCGATTTTCCCTTTTTTGCAGAGTTTCCAAATTAACTCAGACATCAACCCCAATTTTGGCTATAAAAGTTTGACAAAAGAGTTTTCTCTTATTCTTATTGCTATTAAATGATATTAAATGTTAGTTTCTTATAAAATAAATATCTAAAAAACCTTTTAAACAAGAAAAATTATTAAGAAAAGTGCCATGGCAGAACGCTGGAGAGAGGCCGACTTGAGTTCATTCAAGAGCTTGTAAAATAAGTTCTATATTTCCAATCGAGAAGCTCTTTGTAGATAAATAATGCCAAGATAAAGGGCTTTATTTTTCTATATAACACTTGGTATTTTAGTAATAAGTAGTGTTTGTCAGCAACTTTTCAAAAGGTGTCACCATGTACAACAGAAAAATGAGATTTGACCACTTCAACAGCTACTTTTTCAGAGATTTTTTAGATCAAAAGATAGATCTTTGAAAGAAAAATCTTCTTGAAAAGAAAAGAAAGTGATTAAATGACGTTTTTCCGTTGTAAACCTATTAACAATCAGAGCAAATGAATCTCTAGTATCTATTGGGTTGGTGGAAAACTCCTTTCCGATTTTTTGGGAGAGTACCTTAAATTTGTCCAATTTTGAGGTTTTATAGCTCATTCTAAAGCTGAATTCAAGACGGATCGATTGGCAAAAACCGTTTTGAGATATCTCTTTTCTAAAAGTTTTTACAGCTATTTTAGTAAAGGGCGGCAGAGCCAAAAAATGGCTGTTTTCACGTTTCGTTAGTTTGCTGTGACAGATGACCAAAAAAGACAATGCTGTGTGTTTGGTGGGACCATCAGGGCATTCTTCAACAAAAAAACACGAGAAAAACGAGGGAAAATCGCGAAAAGCGGCGGAAAGGCCATTGATCTGAGGGTCGCTGGTTCGACTTCCACCGGTGACAATATTTTTCAAAATTTTTTTGCTAAGATTCTGAAAATGCGTGTCTAGGGGTTATTTTTGACGCTGATCACGAAACACATGTTTTTAGCCTAGGTTTCTGCACGAAAAACTAACGAAACGTGAAAACAGTCATTCTGCCGCCCTTTACTAAAATAGCTGTAAAAACTTTTAGAAAAGAGATATCTCAAAACGGTTTTTACGAATCGATCCGTCTTGAATTCAGCTTTAGGATGAGCTATAAAACCTCAAAATTCGACAAATTTAAGGTACTCTCTCAAAAAAATCGCAAAGGACTTTTCCACCAACCCAATAGATCCCAAATTCTTCAACCAATCCTTTCAGACAATCGCGTTGCTTTGTTATTTCGGGAAATCTTTCGGATATTTCCTCTCTCAATACAGCTATTGTTATTTATTGGTGAGTTTAAGCTCAAAAAAATAGAGAGATTTCAAGATTTCAGGTGCTAGCCCTATACCGTTTCTGCACAATCGTTCTCCATTTCGAGCTCCCCATTTGGGCATTAATTCCACTGTTTCTTGGTGCTTATTCGAGAGTGGTAAGTTCAAAATTTTAGCCCATATCTTTTAAAAAACCATTCTAGATCTTGATTGAAAAATGTATACAGCTAAAAATGTATTCATCTATTTTAAGAAACTACAAATTCTCCAAAGAACCACTTTTTGTATATAAAAAACTCTTTAAACACAAAAACTGATTAAAATTTTTAGAAAGCAAGTAAAAACTAAATAAAACTAAAGAAAAACTAAAAAAAAACTAAAGAAAAATAGGATTTTAAAGCCAAAAATCCTGATTTCCAGCTAATTCACATCATTTGTGCGCTCTTTTTCGGCGAAATCGGATACAATGACTCGTGCAATCCGATTTTGACAACGAATTTTCTTGGCGGATACATGGTTAGTGAAGAAAATGCGAATATTTTAGTGTCAATGTAACCAATGCTGAATAACATAATGGGAACAATTTAAAATTAATTTTTTTGATGGGTGAACTGCTTGGCCAAACTTGCAGTCAAGCTCTTCTGAAAGCTCATTGCTTAAGCTTTCTTGCTTGCTTTTTTTCGAACTCCGATAGCTAATTCCCCAATTAGCTAGGGGGTTGAAAAGCAACGAGCAAGAAAACAAAAATAACCTCAACAAAGATGCAAATTTAATAAGATTTTTAAATTATACGTTCTAGAACGAATGCTATTGGCTTCTAAATGACCCTTTTTATACTAAACTTGATTCTGGTAATGATTTTTAAAAAAAACAAAAGTTTGCGCGGTGTACCTCATGCTGGAATCCACATGCGTCCCCACTGTTTCCTAGACAGACGCTCTGCCACTGAGCCAATGAAGCGATGATCTTGAATTTTTCTAAAAACCTATTCTCCAAACTATTAACTTGTATTTACTAATAGTAGTTGGAAAAATGCCAAAAAAAATCAAAAGGTTGCCCCGAACCGGGATCGAACCGGTGACCTTTAGATAGCTGTGGAATCACTTCAGTCTAACGCTCTCCCAACTGAGCTATCGAGGCAGGTGGGAAAGGAACTCTGAAGGAAGGCAAAGTACCAGTCGAGGGGCATGTTTATTACGTGAAAGTTATATTACTGATTTTAAACTACTGTTTTGGCTTTATAAAGTTCAACGAGCTGTTTTCAAGTGAATACCAAAGCTTATTTCTATAGCCAGGAGACAGGAGATCTAAAAGTGTTCTAGAAAATGGTTGAAAAAAGCTTTTGTTTTTGCTTAAAAAGCAATGTGTTTGGAAGTTTTTGTAAAGAACCTATTCTGCAAACTACTAACTAGTATCTTCTACAAATAGTAGTTGAAAAAGTGCCAAAAAAATCAAAAAGATGCCCCGAACCGGGATCGAACCGGTGACCTTTAGATAGCTGAGGAAACACTTCAGTCTAACGCTCTCCCAACTGAGCTATCGAGGCATGTGATCGGGAAGCTTTTGAGTAGAACAAAAGTACCGGTCGACGGGACACGTTTACAGGACTTTTCTTTTACAGGATTTCTCAGTTATTTTACTGATTTTAGACTGCTGATTTCGGGACCTAATCTAACCTAGTTTGGACTTATTTTAAAGTACTTTGAAGAAGGACTATTTTCAGTCCTTAACAACTCAAAAGTGAGTACTGACTTTTTGTTTTGCTAAATCATTGAAGTTTATTTTGGCTTTATAAAGTTCAGAGAGCGGTTTTTAAGCGAACAACAAAGATCATTTCTATAGCCAGCAACTACAAATCTACAAATTCCCACAATTGGCAGCCAGCAGCTACAAATCATCAAATCTACCCATTTGTACATGACCTTTTTCTAATTTTTTTTGGTAGTCACAAAATATCCTCCCAGCAAACCGCGTTTCAAAATCGGATTGCAAGAGTTTGTGTGGCTGAGAGTGCTGAAGAATAGCGCGAAAAAGATGTGAAGGAGCTGGGAAATCAAAAATTTTGACGTTTCGTTATTTTGATATACCAAAGTTCAGAAGTTTTTATTAAAAAAAAGGCTTTGCTGCCTCATGCTGGAATCGAACCAGCGACCTTCTGTTTACTAGACAGACGCTCTGCCACTGAGCCAATGAGGCGCTGGTTCGGGGCTTAAAAGAAGTCAATAAAACACAGGAGATTTCAAAAGGTTCAGAAAGTCTGAAATCGGTTGAAATTAGTTGAAAAAAAGCGTTTGTTTGCTGAAAAAACACCTCAAATAGATAGATCAAGTCAATTTAAATCGTGCAAGATTAAAATTGTGCTCGATTGATATAAGAATTTATAACAAATGCTAACATAAATAGCCTTTTCAATCAAAATTCCAATTTTTAGACAGTTCACTTGTGGTTGATCGGTTGCGATCTTGTGGCATCAGTGTTGAATGCGGGAATTCTCCTTCATTTGAGGCTTCATTATAAGCAACTGAAAGGTGAGCTGAATTAAAAATAAACGAATTTATTACTCATTTCTTTTTTGAACCATTTCAGGAAAATCCCAGTCACTGGCTCAACAAAAAGCCCGAAGAAATCTCCAAATCGGTCTCCTCATCTCATCAATTTGGCCAGTTCTCACGCAGAGCTTCACCGCTTGGCAAATCACGGCAGCTTTATTAAGTAAATGAGAAATTCGTTGCGCTTTATTAAGTAAATCAGAAATAATTTCTATTTGCTTATCCAGTTCAACAATAGCTTTCTTAATCCAGTAAAATGGAAAAGCTTCTATGAAACCAAGTTCCTTAACACATTGACGACCGCCTCTTTTGCAAAAGAGCCGATTTGAATCAAAATGAATCACCATAACCCAGAAATTTATATGTCGTAACCGATTATGAATTTCAGCCGATTATGTATGAGCGGGTCCGGACGCGTCCAACCATCAAGTATTTGGTATCATTCAACGCAGAATCATTAATAAATATGTTAAATTTTAAAATTAGAAAGATTGGATAAAAAGAAAAAAATTATGGGGCCTCAAAGTTTTCGCTTGAACAAACAGTTTTTTTGCTCTAATTTTTTTTCTTTTCATCAAATCTTGCTAATTTTAAAAATTCAACATAATTATCAATGATTCTGCGTTGAATGATACTAAATACTTGATGGTTGGACGCTCCTAGACCCACTCATTCATAATCGGTTCCTAGGGTTGCGCGGATTTTGAATGAAACGTTGTAGTGCCCGCAATTTTTAACATAAACACACAAATTTGATATCAATAAACGTAGAATTCTCTACAAAATGATATAATATTGTCCTTATAAAGATTGAATAAAAGGAAAAGATTTTATGGAGCTTCAAAGTTTTCTCTCGAACAAATAGTTTTTTCACTCTAAATTGTTTTCTTTTTATCGAATCTTTCTAGTTTTAAAAATTTAACATAATTATTAATGATTCTGCGTTGAATGATACCAAATACTTGATGGATGGACGCTCCTAGACCCGCTCATTCATAATCGGTTCCTAGGGTTGCGCGGATTTTGAATGAAACGTTGTAGTGCCCGCAATTTTTAACCTAAACTCACAAATTTGGTACCAATCGACGCAGAATTTCATTCGCTAAAGGATGATATAATATTGTCCTCATACATTAAAGGGTTGCTCTACTAGAAAGATTTACCAAAAAATTTCATTCATAATCGGCTACGACATATATATTTAGGTTTAAATAAACCGTCGTAGCCGATCGGATAGGAATCTTGTCTCCTAGTCGGCCTCCATCCCGGCGGCTACAAAGATTCGTTCTTTTTTCCCATTATTATGAGTTTTTTCTTAACAACATTTGGGTAATAGGGGTAATTAGGAGTAAAAATTTCCTCTGTTTTGTTGTAATTCGTGTCGAATAAATAGACTTTTTAAAAGACTCTAGAATCCGAACCCGGCCTTACTTTTTTGCTCAACAAACTCCATAAAACTAACGCCGGTTTCTAGAAATTCAGCTAATTTTACCACAAACATGTCTATTTTCATCAAAAGATTTCAACTCTTAACAACTTTTTGAGAATTTTTTACATCCACGTCTCGTCGATGAAGATTCTTGCAGTTAAACTTTTGCAGAATCAAATTTTTGGTACTAAGAAGCTGGGAGTGCACTTTTTCTAAAGTATTTTGATGCGTAGATTCCGAAAAATACAACGAGAGCTTGGGAAAATGCGTTTTAAGCAAAGTTTCGGGGCTTCAAAGTGCGCGTTTTTACAGTGAGATGAGAGGGATATGCATAAGAAAGAGGTCTAAAAATGGTCTCTCAAAATAATTTTTTAAAGTCAAAAACACTTCTTCTGGCATAATTTAACCTATTGATTACGTTTCTGATCATTAAAAACTATTAGGAAATATTTTTTTGCAAAATCTTGTGGAAGAATCGAACTAACAACCCCGTATTGGAGCCTCAGATAAAATAAATATCTAAAAAACCTTTTAAACAAGAAAAGTTATTAAGAAAAGTGCTATGGCGGATCGCTGGAGAGAGGCAGACTTGAGTTCATTCAAGAGCTTGTAAAATAAGTTCTATAATTCCAATCGAGAAGTTCTTTGTAGATAAATAATGCCAAGAGAAAGGGGTTTATTTTTCTATATAACACTTAACACCTTACTAATAAGGCTGCCGTTTACCAGGAACTTTTTAAAAGGTGTCACTATGCACAACAGAAAAATGAGATTTGACCACTTCAACGGCTACTTTTTCAGAGATTTTTTAGATCAAAAGATAGATCTTTGAAAGAAAAATCTTCTTGAAAAGAAAAGAAAGTGTTTAAATGACGTTTTTCCGTTGTAAACCTATTAACAATCAGAACAAATGAATTGGCCCTTAGATTGGCATCTTAGACCATTCGGCCATGAAATCCATGGGAAAAATCTATGATAACACCGTGTTTTTCCGCTTTTTACGAAAAATAACACAACTTTCCAATAAAGCTAACGCCGGATTTGGAAAGAGAACCTAAAATTACATGCTCTTGCAAATTTAGAGCTCATTTCGTCCAGCCATTCACGAGAAACAGCGAGCACGCGGTCGTCTATGTGTTAAGTACTGAATTTGGAATAGATGTAGAGAATTGCGATTCTAGAATCCTTCACTAATGTATAGGAACGTAAATAAAGCAATTTTGCTTACTCGAGGAGCAGTTAAATTCTAGAAAACCCAATCCCTTGGTATCTCAACACTTCCTGCATGCTCTTTGTCCGTTCTCCATCTTACTTCCTCGCAGTCACCACCCCATTTTTGTTCATCAGAGCGTTTCAAGGTTTGAGCAAAATAAAAATTATTGTAATTTATCACAAAATGAGTCTATATCCCTTTTAGAAGCAATCTTTTTTTAGATGAATTCATCTTTCTCATCACCCGCAAGCGTACCTCCCAACTGTGCACAAATATCCAAACTGTGGCTACGATAACCGCCTCAAAAGATCATAAAGTTCAACCAAGTGCCTTTTAGAATATTCAATAAACTTTATTTGACTAGTTATTGCATAAATTGCATGATATTTTGCTCATTAAATGATCAGATTGGACAGAGCAATTATAAATCAACAAGTTTTCAAAAAAATTGACGAATTCACGTTCCCAATTGGCATTCAATTAGTCACCTTAGTCATTAGTCATCTTAGAAACATCTTAGAAACAACACGAGATTATTCATCTTAGAACTTTTAGTTCTATGCTTAAATCTAGATATTTACTATTGGTTTAAGACCTTGAAATTATCATATTAAACATCAAATTTCAAACATCAATCAATTAGATTCACAAAACTAAAGTAAAATCTTCTGTTTCTCAACATTGTGTGCCAAAATCTAGGCTTTATTTGTCGTTAGCCCGCTCGATATGATGATACTTTATTGAATTTCCTGTTTCTCAACATTGAGTGCCAAATGTGAAACGAAAAACACAATAAGAGCTTAGGAAAAGGCGTTTTAAGCCAAGTTTCGGGACTTCAAAGTGCTCTATAGTGTTGCTCGCTATATGGAGCCCAAGCTATCGACTATTGGGGCACTTTTCATGTTCAAAACTAGAGCCAAAAGCATTTTTAACCACTAAATATCTATTTTCTAACTTAAATTGACTAATAGAGGCAAAAGAAATTGAAAAAAATATTTTTGATAAAGTGAAACCCAATAAATCATAGAGAAATGCACATTTCATAAATGTAGAGACAAAAGAAAGGTACGAAGATACAAGATAGAATGAAAATGCAAATAATCAGATCACCTACGAGAGAGCTGTTAGATCTAGAGCCTCTATTTGTTTCTTGGAAATGGAAAACTCATCTCGGTTAAGCATCCTCATGCGAGTCTTCTCGTTTATCGATTTTCGTTCGACTGATCGACTGATCACTTCAGCCGAGCACTCTACTTTACTGAATCTAATCACCCCTCACAAGTTATCAGCTGCTTGCTTAACCGAGTTGAGTCTCTGTGAATGTGTAACCGACAAGTACCGAGAAATGCACAGCGAGTCATAAATGTAGAGACAAAAGAAAGGTACGAAGATACAAGATAGAGTGAAAATGCAAATAATCAGATCACCTACGAGAGAGAGCTGTTAGATCTAGAGCCTCTATTTGTTTCTTGGAAATGGAAAGTCACTGAATTTCTCGTATATAATTTGGGAGCAAGTTCCATAACCTAGCGGCTCTAGATCTAGGCTCTAACGGGAAATGAGTTTGATAAAAAAGCGCTAAACGCAAAGGGAATCTGCGAATTGAATGAACCACTTTTGGACTCTAAGTTGCACTCCAGTTTGCATTTTTACAAAGTTTAAGCAAGATCTGTTCATCCTATAGCCTTCTCAAACAAATCTGCAAAAGGAATGAGCCACTTCTGGACTCTGACCTCGGGTTAAATTTAAAAAATTCAACAAAAAACGGCTAATCTGTTTGCAACGCAGGATTTCGAAAGTTTCGACTAGATCAATGACAAAACGACGATGTTGTAAAGTTTTTATTTCAAAAAGATCAAGTCTACCTTGATAAGTCAAGCCAGAATGTTTAGAATGGTCAATTTTATGCCACAAAATATGTCAAAATCAATTAGAAATGAATCAATTTGACTGATGAATGTTAACCATAGAATGGCCTGAATTTTTTACTCATAAATTTCCCGGTTTCCCGGAAATTTGAGCTTCTTTGGTTTGGATCAACTCGTGAACTTGTCTTTTTCATCTTGTCTATCTAAATACTCTAATCAAACGCCATCTTCTCGTACATTCGCGTAGTCTAACTTCTTTTCAGAAAATCACTTTTTTTCTCAGTTTCTGGATTTTTCTCAACTACATTTTTAGTACCAAAAAATACTAAGATATCAAGGGCTATCAAATGGCACTGAAGCGCGCACTGTAGCATAAAGCAGTGCGGTGAATGCGACACTCAAAGTACGCGCTTGTACGCCCGTCATTATCGGAATGGCATTCTATTAAAGTTTACGGTAGGCTTTCTCTCTACATTAAGATCTTTTCTCAAAAATGCACTTTATATAAAGCTACCGTAATCCTTTCGTTTTTTGTTCAAAGTCGAGTTATCTTGCTAATTGAAAGTCGTTTACCCGTCTAGACTGTGTTCTTCTCAAATAAGACATTCTCAAATGTAGTAATAGTAAATATTACTATAGTTTTACATAAATAACAATAAAAAATAATGGAGAGCCGCCTTAAATACGGTTGCCACAAAGCCCGCCTTAAATACGGTTGCCACAAAGGCCGCCTTATATACGGTTGCCATAAGGGCCGCCTTATATACGGTTGCCATAAAGGCCGCCTTATATACGGTTGCCACAAACCCCGCCTTAAATACGGTTGCCACAAAGGCCGCCTTATATACGGTTGCCATAAGGGCCGCCTTATATACGATTGCCATAAAGGCCGCCTTATATACGGTTGCCATAAAGGCCGCCTTATATACGGTTGCTCGGTTGCTATTCATTCGCTTAACTGAATATCCTTTTCGGGAGAGGTTTTGTACAAAAAGAAAACTATTTAGCTATTTAGCTAATTTTGCGTCGAATTTAAAGCGCTTTTTGGAACGACTTTGACGCCATTTGTTGTTTATTTTGTTCAAATAATGGGAAAGCAGCTTTTTTTTTCACTTTTAAACAACAACAAACAAAACAAGTTCACGTTTTTTCTAAATTTCTATATCTACTCCATTTTTCTGATCATCGAAAATTCAAATTTAGCCGCCTCTTCGGCTCTTTTGTACCAGGCAACACGCAATTTGGCCTCAATTCTGAAAGAGGGAAAAAAAGTATTACATAAACTCCATAAACTCCCTGTTTAAAGGATTTCTTATTAGATTTGTCTTTTTTATGGAGAATTATTGGGCAAAATCGAATTACACAGCGGATTCGTATGGTCAGGGCACAAATGGAGTGATCACCACGTAGGTCTTGGCTTATGAGGGAATGAGTGCTTTATGAGCATTTAAATTGTCAGCAAAGAAAGCAATTAAAGAGTTAATCATTTTTAGAAATCCTGTTTTTTGCAAAATTCAAGAAATTAACTTAAAAAGAAAACACAAAAGTGAAATTGCCCCGAGCCGGGATCGAACCGGCGACCCCTAGATAGCTGACACCCTTCAGTTTAACGCTCTCCCACTGAGCTATCGAGGCACATTTGGCTGGAGGAAAAAGAGCCCCTAAATCATTCGTGAAGAAGGCATTTAGAAGATTCTTTTATTTCTATGAAATAGTAATGATCTACTAAATATAAAGTAGAAGAGACGTCCGTCTGTCTGTGCGCAAACGCGACGCTCCGTAATTACGTTTGTATCTATCAATCAAAAGGCAAAGTATTCAGTTTTTGCGTGATAATTTGCTCTCGGGGGTTTTCGGATATGGGGATCTGACTTACCGTAAATACTGTAATAGTACCCCACCCCCCTCGTACAGTCAGGTAGTCGTAAAAGTTTTTTAGTATTTCATTTTTTGTAAAGCACCCGTACTTTCAAAAAATGCCTCTTTGGTATTAAAAAAGCCCTGAATTTCAGCTATTTTTTGATACCTAAGCGCGCATTGTAGCATAAACCAGTGTCGAGAAAAACTCGTTCAAAGCTAGACTACACAACACTCCGCACCGTCATTATGGGGGTGGGGTACTATTCCAGTATTTACGGTATCTATATGGGAAAAAAGAACCGAGAACCTAAATGAAATTGAACCCTGATCTCTCGACTAAGATACAGGGCTCTTAGCCAGTCAGCCATTGCAGCCAGGCGATCAAAAACTTTAAAGTATTTGTTTAGCGAAACCCTTAAGTCTTAACGATACTTTGTGCTTGAATATAAGCAATATCCAATATCCAATGCAATGCTATAAGGCCATTTTCAACAATTTCTCGATCTAATACTAGAAATGCTTCGATCTCACCTCATCTAAGTGATATTGATTACTTCAATCATCTAAAAAATCTAAAAAAATCAAAAATGCGTCTTTGGTCTGCAAAAAAGCCCTGAATTTCAGCTATTTTTTGATACCTAAGCGCGCATTGTAGCATAAACCAGTGTCGAGAAAAACTCGTTAAAATTAGACTACACAACACTCCACACCGTCATTATGGGGGTGGGGTACTATTACAGTATTTGTGGTAGATTTATTTTTAAAAAGGGGCGGCGCTTAATATGGGTTACGGCATTTCGCTAGTTATCTTATAAAATATAACTATAACTAAAATCTTATAAAAAAATCTTTTTCAGCGTTTGGGCGATCCCTCCATTTTTCTTTCTTCTCTACATTCAATTCAAAAGAAAAGAGCTATTCACAAGTTATAAGGTATATTTCATTTTAATATCGATTTAAATCGAAATTTTTCAGTATTCCGTCTTTGCTACGAGTTACATTTATTTCTCCTATCATATGCTGAATTTGATCTCATATATTTGGTTGACTTTAGCGGGTGCTGTGCAGTTACAAGTCGGTTTTTCTTTGAGAGAAAATCTGATTCTGATTTTTTTTATGACAATGAGATATCTAGCTGAATATCTTAAAGCTAAAAGATATTCAATTAAGTGAGAAGATTATCGAAAAACACCTGAATATCTTAAAAATGAATGCAAAAACGACTAAAGCGATTGATTATCGAATTTATTAGGTTGGTGCATTGAAAACTGCGGACAAGTGTGGGACAAGTGTGAGACTCAAAAATAGAGGACTGGAGATGTCACGTGTCCCAGTTTGAGCACTTTCTTCAAAAGAAACCCATTTTGGTGTCAATGGAAAAGTTGTAGAGAATCAAAAATTAGGCTTATAGCCAAATTTCCAAAAAGATACACTTAGTAGTTTCGCTTAAAATGCAAGTTTTGTGAAAATTCGTAAATTTGGCATTTCTTGAAAACCAGTTTTTGAATCGTTCTGAAAATTTGGATATAAGCTTGATTTTTGATTCTCTACAACTTTTCCATTGACACCAAAATGGGTTTCTTTTGAAGAAAGTGCTCAAACTGTCACATATGACCATAGCCCGCAGTTTTCAATTCACCAACCCAATATTTGGTTGACTTTAGCGGGTGCTGTGCAGTTACAAGTCGGTTTTTTTGATAGAAAATCTGATTGTGATTGTTTTTATGATAATGAGATATCTAGCTGAATATCTTAAAGCTAAAAGATATTCAATTAAGTGATAAGATTATCGAAAAACACCTGAATATCTTAAAAATGAGTGCAGATTGATTGATTATCGAGAAGCGATTGATGATCGTATTTAGAAAAGCAGGTGTTTCAAGTTACTTTTAAAATTCTCTTTTTATGATCTAGCTAAAATGCACCCAAACTACAGTACACTTATTTCTAAAGTACATACAAATACCTTAGTTTTAACAATCCTAGTTGGAACTAGGGCAGATCAACAAAGTCGTCCGCCACCGGGACTCGAACCTGAGATCTTTCGCTTACCTGACAACTGTGCTATCCATTACACCACAACGCACTTCATCTCCCTTACTCCAGAGGGAGTTAACTTTCTCATTTTTCCTACCTTTATTTCAGAGCAATGCATTATTTTGTTACTTCAGCAAATCGTTCTTCTATTTCTTCGGTCAGTACAGTTACGTCTATCTATTGGTGAGCTTTGCATCACACGCTTGCTTTTTGTACTCGAAATGCAAACGCAACCTTTCTAGTGCACGATTCAGTACGCCAGAAAGGATGCGTTTCACTTTTTTGCGGCACAAGCGTGGCTCTAAAGCAACCCATTTACAGGTGTTATCCGTCTATCGATTTGCCTCAATCATTCTTCATCAAATTCTCCTTTCGTGGATTCTCGTCGTCATTTTTGCGATTGCATATTTGAGACCAGTTAGTGACGTTCAATTTTCGATTATTTCTTACAATTAGACTCGATTCAAATCATTTCAAAGTTTCAAAATTACAGGAAGCGCATTAATTATGGACCGCTTAATTATGGGCCGCTTAATTATGGGCCGCTTAATTATGGGTCGCTTAATTATGGGCCGCTTAAGATAGAAAGAAAATCCCTATAGTCATTGTTTTAAATCTTCAATCTTTTACAGATATATATTGTTAAACTAGTTAAAGTTTATTCCAGAAAAAGTCTCATTAATAGCATCTTCCGCTCACAGACAACTCTTGTGCAAGACAGCCAGAAAAAAAGTCTTTTATTGAGGTTTCGCTTTGATTTCTTAGGCGTCCACAGCTGGTAAACTTGAAGGTTTTCTTGTTAATTCAATATCAAAGACTATAGCTTCAATAATCTGTTTATGCGAGTTTAAGTTTCTTAGCAACAATCCTCGCAAAAGCCTGGGACCAACTTGGTAGCAGGTAGTCACGCGCCTGCCAGCGCGCCTGGCTGAACGCGGAACGCGCCTGAACGGCTGAACGGAACGCGCGCCTGGCTTTTGAAAAAGATTTAACTATAAATTGCATTAAAATGCTCTTACTGTACAGCAAACTAATGATTTTTTTCCTGTTAAAAGCTCAAAGAAAATTTTGCTTTGTCAAAAAAGATTATGTTTGTTAACACACATTTCTAGCTGAGAGCCTCTTAAATAGGCGCATAATTAATGCGCACCCTGTATATAGTGCATAAAATTTTATAGGTTTTGGGGTTTATTTAGGGCTCATAGTCTGTCAAAAGAGTGAAATTTCATTAGTACACTTCATCTGTTCACTCAGTTTGCCTATGACCAAGGTTCAAATGTTTATGTAACCTGGATAATAAAAAAGCTGTTCTGCAAGAATTTGAACTAGATTTATGGACTCAAAAGAAAGAAATCACTAGTCTAAAATCAGTAAAATAACAAGAAAGATCCTTTAAACATACCTGTCGACCGGTAGTTTTGTTCTCCTCAAAAGATCTCCTCTCACCTGCCTCGATAGCTCAGTTGGGAGAGCGTTAGACTGAAGTTGTTCCTCAGCTATCTAAAGGTCACCGGTTCGATCCCGGTTCGGGGCATCTTTTTGATTTTTTGGGATTTTTCCAACTACTATTAGTGGATACTGTTTAGTAGTTTGGAGAATAGGTTTTTTAGAAAAACTTTCAAAATCTCAGTGGTTCAACTGAAGCTTTCAAACACAAAGCTTTTTAAGCAAAAACAAAAGCTTTTTCAAACAATTTCCAGAACACTTTTAGATCTCCTGTCTCCTGGCTATAGAAATAAGCTTTGGTATTCACTTGAAAACAGCTCGTTGAACTTTATAAACCCAACACAAACGTCAAAGAGCTAGCAAACAAAAAATCAGGTTTATTAGAAAAACTTTCAAGATCTCGATGGTTGAAATCAAAATCTGTCTAGTAAACAGAAGGTCGCTGGTTCGATTCCAGCATGAGGCACTAAATCTTTTGTTTCTTGAAAAATTATTTCACTTTGGTAAATCTAAAAATAGTTGAACGTCAAAATTTTTCATTTCCCAGTTTCTTCACATCTTTTTCGCGCTATTCTTCAGCACTCTCGGCTACACGAACTCTTGCAATCCGATTTTGACAACCGATTGGCTGGGAGGATATTTTGTGAGTACAAAAATTGTAAAAGTTGAAGTTTGTGTCAAAAAAATTAGATGAATGTCATGCACAAATGGGTGGATTTGATGATTTGTAGTTGCTGGAAGTGGGTATAGAAATGAGCTTTGATATTTGCTTAAAGACAGCTCTCAATTCTTCAATTCTGCCAAAAAAAGTCAAGATAAACTTCAAAGATCTCGCAAACAAAATCACAGTACTCAATTTGATCTTCTGAGTTGTTAATGACTGAAAATAGTTCAAGTTAGGTTAGGTTAGATCCAAGCTAGGTTAGGTTAGATCCAAGCTAGGTTAGGTTCGATCCAAGCTAGGTTAGGTTCGATCCAAGCTAGGTTAGGCTAGATCCAAGCTAGGTTAGGCTAGATCTAAGCTAGGTTAGGTTGGATCCAAGCTAGGTTAGGCTAGATCCAAGCTAGGTTAGGCTAGATCCAATCTAGATTAGGTTAGATCCAAGCTAGGTTAGGTTAGATCCAAACTAGGCTAGGTTAGATCCAATCTAGGTTAGGTTAGATCCAAGCTAGGTTAGGTTAGATTAGATCATGACCTGTCTTATCGATCTGATTTGATCAAAAATATTTCGTTTTATATGCCTTTTATAGAACGTGTTGATGTGGATGTGCGGAATTTGTCTGATAGCCACAACTCTCAACCTTGCCATTCTTTTTCATCTCCGATCGCATTACAAGCAAGTGAAGGGTGAGTAAAACAAGGAAACGATTAAAAACAGTAAGAAGATAAAAAGAAGAAGTGTATTTTGTAGGTTCTGCAAGGCAGAAAGGTTTGCTGGATGCCTGACCTATAAAGAGTACCTGAGCTCGCCAGAAATCAGGCCTTTAACGGCTTTTGTCCTGCCTGAACTATCAGTTTGACCGGAAAGTCTTGTCTTTTTTTTCTGTACTTCTGTTTCTTTACTAATTCACCGATTGACTTACGGTTTACTCCATTAGAAAGACCTACCGTAAATACTGTAATAGTACCCCACCCCCTCGTACAGTCGCGTAGTCGCAAAAGTTTTTTAGTATTTCATTTTTTTTCAAAGCGCCCGTACTTTCAAAAAATGCGTCTTTGGTATCAAAAACTAGCTGAAATTCAGGGCTTTTTTTGGATACCTAAGCGCGCATTGTAGCATAAACCAGTGTCGAGAAAAACTCGTTCAAAGCTAGACTACACAACACTCCGCACCGTCATTATGGGGGTGGGGTACTATTACAGTATTTACGGTACTATTTTTCTACAAAAAGGCTTAAATTTTATGAAAATGTTTTGTCTATCGTTTTTTAGGGGGCGAAGTCGACAACCCAAAGCCGTAATTTAGGCACTTTCGTCCACAGAAACCTATCTTTGTGTCAATAGACGAGTTTTTCGATCGAATTTACTTGGAAATAGACCTAAATCGGCTTGGAATGATAGAAAAGTGAGTGCTAAAGATGTTCTATTTCGAGGAAGCCGTGGCTCAATTGGTGAATTGGTTATTTTTAAACAGAAGTACAAAAAATGCAAGACTTTCCGGCCAACTGATAGTCTAGGCTTACAGGTTTTATTGAATTCAATCATTCAATTCAATCATTCAATTCAATCATTCAATTCAATCATTCAATTCAATCATTCAATTCAATCATTCAACTCAATCATTCAATTCAAATCATTCAATTCAAATCATTCAAAATGGTTCTATTCAATCAATCATTCATTATTTCCCACAATTTCAGGAAAAGCTCAATCCAATGCGCAACGCAAAGCTCAGCGCAACCTTCAAATCTCTCTACTTATCTCATCAATTTGGCCGATGATTACACAGGGATTCACCGCCTATCAAGTGACTGCTGCTTTGAACAGTGAGACTTAAAATCGATTTACAGAACTTTTCCGTTTTACGAAGTAGTACAGAAATGGAAATAGAATGAAGCCCTGGATTTTGTCTTATGCAAAACTTCTCGGGACATTCTCCTTCAGAATCGCCTATCCCGTGGTACATCAACACACCGTGCTCATTGCTCACAAGGTGTACCTCGTTTTTCTCCATTGCAATGCCATTTCTCTTCATTCGCGCGTTTCAAGGTGAGAACAGAATTCTGAAAATTTGATTCCTCTTCTAAAAGCCTTGCCATTTTCAAAATGATACTGTTTTTCTGAAAATCCAAACATGCTTTTGACAAACATCCAAACACTGACATCTTTTTGAGCGTACCTTTTGCGTATCTCGTCGGGAAAAACGCCATCTGAAATACGATCCTTTCAGAGAGGGCAACAGAGAGTTAGGATTTCGGTTCAATTACCCAAGTTTGGGGTTATCATTAGCCCCAAGACCTTGCAAAGTGCCTTGAAAAGTTTTGAGGAATTGAGGAATTGAGGAATTGAGGAATTGAGGAATTGAGGAATTGAGGAATTGAGGAGTTGAGGAGTTGAGGAGTTGAGGAGTTAGGGAGTTGAGGAGTTGAGGAGTTGAGGAGTTGAAGAGTTGAAGAGTTGAAGAGTTGAGGAGTTGAGGAGTTGAAGAGTTGAGGAATTGAGGAATTGAGGAATTGAGGAATTGAGGAGTTGAGGAGTTGAGGAGTTGAGGAGTTGAGGAGTTAGGGAGTTGAGGAGTTGGGGAGTTGAGGAGTTGAGAAGTTGAAGAATTGAGGAATTGACGAATAAAAATTGGGTGCTCTTTTAATCTCTTTAAAATCTCTCTTTAATTTCCCAACTTTAATTCCCATCTCGAGAAAAAACTGATTATCGAAAATTTCCAGACGAATTTGTCTACATGATCACTCGAAAGCACACCTCTGAGCTCACTCTCCGAATCAGCAAAGTCCATTCGATCTATTCAAACGGAGCTCCACGAATCTCTCAATCTGTCCTAACAAGGAATATGTCAAATGTAGAAATTGGTGCCATTTCATAAAGATCAATTGCATTCAAGTGCTGAGAATTGCAAAAGAATGTCTTTTCTCTTTCTGATAAGCTTAGATTGGGTTTTTTTCGAGAAATTCTCATAAATTTTGGCGTTTGATGCTATCAGTTGGCGATTCAAAGGCTGAAAAACAAAGCAAATCACTTAAAAATATATTTTACTTTATAAACTATCTGAAAATAGCTTTCTAACAAAATTCTAAAGGTTCGAATAACTTATTTTTTGTTAGTTTTGCAGCTTTCAAAGATGAATTTTCATATTTTTTTTTGAAGCTTTTCGTAAAGCTTTGCTTGTTCTTGAAGACTTTGTACTCAAATTGTAAACGCATTCTTCTCAATGCAAAATTTTACCAGACTCAAACCAATGACCACTTTTTTTCCAGACACCCTATATGCAAAACGATGAAAATTTTCATATTTACATAATCGCACGGCTTCTGGCACAGGGTTTTGATATATATGCACTATAAATGTAAAAAGTTTTTCATTATTTGAATCACTTTCGGTTTAATTATCCAGCTTTTCTTTAGAAACATAAAATGTAGTGTTTACGTAGAGTGTGTAAGTAAAAATCCCCGCAGCTTTCAGGGATAAGGGAACAAAAACAAAGATTGCTTTAGGAACATGAAATGTAGTGTTTACGTAGATCTTTCGAGTAAGTATTTCGGCTGCATTCGGTTTTCTTTACCCCACAAGAAACCCCCGCAGCCTTCAGGAATAAGCGAACAAAACAAAAATTGATTCCTTTCTTTCTCTCAATTTCGGTTTAATTACCCAAGTTTTCCGTAGTGAAAGTTCATTATTGAAAACAAACGACAAATCCGGGATTTTCTAACTTTGAAAAGCCCCAAGTACAAATGTTCATGCTGATCCGGTGCTAAAATCCTTTTCCTCTCAGATCTCAGATCTCAGATACCAAAAAACTGAAAGGTTGCATTGTCCCGAATGTGTTAAAAATGAAAATCCTTTCTGGTACACTGAATTTTTGTTTTCTTTTATAAAAGAATGCTCTAGAAGGCTTGATGCTCCAGAAAAATGTGATTGTTTCCACTTTAAAGATCAAACTTGAGCTTACAGTTACTAGGTTGGTGCAAATGAAATTTCGTTTTTTTACAAACATTAAAGTCATCCAAAATTTTTTTAGATAACAATTTATTTAAAACAATAAGCACCATTATTATCTATGACATCCCTCCAACGTTGCTTCAGATTGCGGATCCCCTTCTCAAAGAACGCTTGATTCTGTGATGCAAAGTAGTTGATCACCCAATTTTCGACTTCTTTTGCATTCTTAAACTGGCAATTCTCAAGGGAATGTTGCATCGATCTGAAAAGGTGAAAATCGGAGGGTGCTAAGTCTGGACTATACGGCGCATGTGGTAAGACCTTCCATCCTAGCTTCTCTAGTTCCTTACGAGAGGTTTTTGCCGTGTGAGCTGGAGCATTATCACGGAGAAAGTTGATAGTTGAGGGATTTAGGCCTTTTTCACGCAAAATTTCGTCAACCTTCTTGAGTTGTTGAATAAAATAAGATGAATCGACTGTTTTTCCGGGCTCTAATAATTCAAAATGAACAAGTCCATTGATATTCCACCAGCAAGACAACATCACTTTGCGCCCATGATAATTCGGCTTTGGAGTTGGAATTGGCGCTTGACCTTTGCTCAGCCATTGTCTTTTTCGAGAAGTATTATCAAAGTAAATCCACTTCTCATCCATCGTCAAGATATTCTCAAAAAAATGGCTTCTTTTCGACTTATGGAGCAAGATATGGCTGATCGAAACGCGTGCTCCCAGATTCTCAACACTCAATTGATGTGGAACCCACTGTCCATTACGATTTGTCTTTTCAATTATTTCCAAATGGCGTACAATTGTTGAATGATCACATTGAGATGTTTGGCAAGTTCTCGTGTTGTTTGCATTGGATCAGCTTCAATTAATTGTTCCAATTCATTGTTTTCGATGGTTGTGGCACGATGTCCATGCGATTCGTCTTCAAGGGATTCATTACCATCTCGGAATTGGGCAAACCAGAGCTGGCATGATCTTTCGGTGATAACCTGTTCTCCAAAGGCGGAACAGAGATCACGATGTGAATCAGCAGCGTTTTTGCCCATTTTGAAGTCATAGAGAAGACACGTGCGCAGAACATACTTTTGATCCACCATGATCTAAAGCAAAAATCAATTAAAAGTGAAAGCTCTGACTTTGAAAAAATGCGAAAATAAAGTAAATATCCAAGAGTACAAATGCACAAAAGAACATCAAATAAGCTCTTCAGATTAAAAAAAATAAGAACATTTTATATCGACCGAAATTTCTTTTGCACCAACCTAATAAATGATTGACAAATTGCTCAGTTTTCTTTCACAGGAAAGTCTAGCTTAAGGAAATCCAAAGCTCTTTTGCTCATTTTCTTACGAAAACCTTTTTTTCGCATTAAAATGGGGATCTACTCACTGAAAACTAAAAAAGACAAATCCTAGAAAGCAACAAAGAAAACAAAAAAGAAAAGAAAAGCAACTGACAACTGTTCATTTGTCACTTATAAAAGTTCAATCTTTATTTATTCCGTTTCACTGAATTTTTCAAGTTTTCAATCAATACGATCAATTTTAATCGTTCAATTTGACGGAACTTGTTCTTAATCTGCACCAGAAATGGACTCTATCAAAGAAGAGATTGATGAGGAGCTGAATGGTGAGTATTTCATTGGAAATGAGACTGTGAAAAAGATTGATTAAAGATTCAGCAAGATCCGTTTGTTATTGAATGATATTTACAAAAGTTCTTTGACATTTAGCCTCTTTCACCTCTGAAATCGTATCACTGGGAAACTCGGAGACTAACAATGAATCTCAAGAGGCTGACAATGAGAATTCTGAGCATTTAGAGAACGAAAGAAGATTAGATAAGGTAGAGGATAAGTTTAATTGAAAATCTACGTCCATCAAAAGCTTTTATCTCCAGGAATCGATCGATCAATTGAAAGTAAAATGCATCGAAGCGGAAACCCGTTGGAGAGAGTACATCACAGAACATTTGAAGAAAAGTCGAGTGATACAGGAAGAAGTGAGGGCTCAGGTTTTTTAATGACAAATCTAAATTCTAGAGCTAATTACGGGCATTTCCCTCACTTCAGTTTCAAAATTTATCACCTTTCAGCTCCACGAGGCTCAACTTAAGCTTCGAGAAGCTCTCTTTCAACAACGGGATAAAACGCTGGACGCTTGGCGCCCAACAATACCACCTTTACAATTTGCATTTGAAAAAGAAAAAGAAAAAGAAAAGGAAAAAGAATAAAAGATTGAAAACTTTTCGAAAACTTGTTTTGGACTATTTTCCGTCAGTAACAACTCACAAGCTCAAAAGTGAGTACTGATTTTTTGTTTGCTAGATCTTTGACGTTTGTCTTGGCTCTATAAAGTCCAACAAGCTGTTTTTAAGTGAATACCAAAGCTTATTTCTATAGCCAGAAGACAGGAAATCTAAAAGTGTTCCGGAAGTTGATTGAACAAAGCCTTTGTTTGCTTAAAAGGCAAGCTTCAGTTCAACCAATGAGATTTTGAAAGTTTTTCTAAAAACCTATTCTCCACACTACTAACTAGTATCTACTAATGGTATTTGGAAAAATACCAAAAAAACAAAAGAATGCCCCGAACCGGGATCGAACCGGTGACCTTTAGATAGCTGAGGACTACTTCAGTCTAACGCTCTCCCAACTGAGCTATCGATGCAGGTGTTAGAGGGGCTTTTAAGGAAGGGAAAGTACCAGTCGAAGGGCTTTTCTTGTGAAAGTTATAATACTTATTTAAGATTACTGATACTTGGGTAGCAATTCGCTCTCCGAATAATTTGCAGCTTCATCAGCGTTCATTCGAAAGCTGATTTTATTTAGTACCCTTTTAGGTTAACTATTGGACATTAGAACTATTAGAATTCGATCGATCGGACCGGAGCTGATCGTGACCTTTAGATAGCTGAGGACCACTTCAGTCTAACGCTCTCCCAATTGAGCTATCGAGGCAGGTGACAGGGAGGTTTTTGAGGAGAACAAAAGTACCGGTCGCTAGGTATGTTGACAGGACTTTTCTTGTGAAGGTTATAATACTGATTTAAGATTGCTGATACTAGGGTAGCGGTTGGCACTCCAAAGTATTTGCAGCTTCACAGTATCATCTACTTAATATAAAAGAGAAATGTCTGTCTGTCTGTACACTGTATCGCTGTAGATCGTATCTATAAACCCATCTGTCTATAAATATGTTTATAATCTAATATTCCATCTATCTATAATATTCGGATCACTGTTTCACCGCATCCTCCCCATAGAAACGAAGAGTTTTGAAATACTGAAATCACGGACAAAGTTTTTCAAAGTTTTTAAGGAGGTAATATTTTCTATAACTGTGTTTTGGTAAGCAAAGAGCCAAGCAAGCTGTGCACAAAACAAATTCGGCTCGAATCTAATTTCATCATTTCATCATACCCTATCAGCAATCTTAAATCAGTAATATAACTTTGACAAGAAAAGTCCTGTAAACATACCTAGCGACCGGTACTTTTGTTCTCCTCAAAAGCCTCCCTGTCACCTGCCTCGATAGCTCAGTCGGGAGAGCGTTAGACTGAAGTGGTCCTCAGCTATCTAAAGGTCACCGGTTCGATCCCGGTTCGGGGCATTCTTTTGATTTTTTGGAACTTTTTCAACTACAATTAGCAAATACTAGTTTATAGTTTGGAGAATAGGTTTTTAGAAAAAGTTTCAAGATCGTCGTTTCATTAACTCAGAAATAGAAGGTGAAGTTAGACTCGAGCCGGAATTTGCACGGATAGGACCATTCTATCTGAATCAATCCGAGCTCCGGTCCGATCAAATCGATTTCTAATAGTTCTAATGTCCAATAATCAACCTAAAATCAAAATCTTGTGACGAAATCGAGAACCGAAATCGAAAAATTGAAACTCATGGCTCAATATTATGAAGTTCAGGATTTTACAAGATTGAAGTGCCTTTTAAATTAGGAAATTCACGAACAGAAGAAAATGGGTGAGTATTTCGTGACGTGGTTCAATGCAAGTGCATCCCTGATTCTGACAGTGACTCTGATCAGTGTCTTCAGCTTCAGTTTCCTGTTTCATGTACCCATTAAGTTCTGAGAACTGATTTCTCTTTCATTTTCGGGAGAAATCGTCACCAAATACCCTCATCACCATAGATAAATCCCCAAAAAGGACAAAAAGTTTGGTGATAAGAAAGAGCAAAGAGCTCAGAGAACGAGTACTTTGTGACTCCTTCAAAAGCCTCAAATAAAAGCGAAGATTGATTCTTTCCCAGTGTTATTTTGCTCAACAATGAGACTTCTCCTCATTTCATTTGTTCTATTCTTCGTGTCTTCTGTCTCATCCAAAGATCCCCATTGTCCGAATGGATTCAACTATCAAGGCGATCTCAATTTTTGCTACATCTACACACAGACACCCAGTGAGTTTTAAAAAAACCGATTATAATTCCCATTTCAAATTCAGCTATTTATCAAATACCACTAACTGTTAAAAATCCCCATATTTTGCTGAATACCCTAGACTTTCAGAAAGTTCATCTTTGGTTAGTGCATAAGTCTTTACAATTTTTTTTCCAAACGTTTTTTAAAAATAAAGCCGCCACTAACAAAATTTCTATTTAAACTATTAAAAAGTTTAATTGTTTCTCTGCAAAAGGGCTTTTGTGAAATTCTTGGTAGCAGTTGTTTTTGTGGATTTTCAAAAGCGCAAAGGCGAGCACCCAAAACTGCTCTGAAACTGCTCCGAATTGCAATTTTGACACTTTCTTCAATACAAACCTATTTTTGTGTCAAAGTAAAAAAGATAGAGCTTGTTTGATTACATAAATCTTTAAAAGTTGAAAACGATCCGTCAAACCATTTCCTTTAAAACAACAATTGAAAATTTTAAATAAAAACGTTTTTACTGAGTTGAGGCAAACTTTGAACTTTCTTTAAAAAACTCATTTTGTAGAGAAATAGATCTTTTAGTTTAATAGATCTTTTAGTTTAAACTATTAAAAATAGTTTAAAACAATTTTTTTAAGAGTTTTTAATAGTTGAATTTGGTAAAGGATTCTTTTCTATAGAAACAAAAGTTTGAAAGACAAATTGTGGCTTTGGCACTAAGCTAATAGGTGAGGAGACTATCATTGACTTATTAAAAGTCTTGTAAACTAATGAGTTTCTTTTTTTAGTGATCTGGGATGACGCGAAGCAATATTGTACGAGTAATGGTGGCAGTCTTGTCTCCATTCATAACGCTTTCCAGAATGGTTTGCTCGGACAGCTCACAGCAAGTAAGTCTTTTGGTTTCATCCCTAAAGATGATTTATTGACTCAAATGATGTTGTATAAACAATACAAAAACACAATCCTTAAGCCCTAAATGTAGAAAGGAAAGAAACCTACCGTCAATACTGTAATATCAGGTTGGTAAAAAAGAAATGAGAAAAAGAAAAGAAAAAAGGTGATGCTTTGTGTTTGGTGGAACAGTAAAGGCCTGGTGTACTTTGAGGTTCTGGATTCGGGTCAAACAGTTACGGTGAACCTCTACCAAGGCCAATTGGACCGCGTGGACCAGGCGCTGCGACGTCAAGGTGTGGATACGGCGTCGACAAAATTCCTCCACGACAACGCTCGGCCGCATGTCGCAAAAATCACCCAGCAGAAAATTGAAGAAATGGGCTGGGAAGTCCTGCCTCATTCGCCATACAGCCCAAACTTGGCGCCTTCCGACTACCATCTGTTCCGATCAATGCACCACTCCTTGGCCGAGAAAAAGTTCAAGAACCGCGACGAGGTCCAAATTTGGGTGTCCAACTTCTTCGAGTCGCAGCCGGTCGAGTTCTTCAAGAAGGGCATCCATTCTCTGCGTGAACGTTGGCGACAAGTTATGTAGATGGCGAATACCTTTTGGATTAATGTATTGTTATCTTGTTTTTATAATAAAATAAACTTTTAACGAAAACGCGCATTTCTTTTTTACCAACCTAATAGTACCCCACCCCCTCGTACAGTCGCGTAGTCGCAAAAGTTTTTTAGTATTTCATTTTTTGCAAAGCGCCCATGCTTTCAAAAAATGCATCTTTGGTATCAAAAATAGCCCTGAATTTCAGCTATTTTTTTGATACCTAAGCGCGCATTGTAGCATAAACCAGTGTCGAGAAAAACGCGTCCAAAGCTAGACTATGCAACGCTCCACACCGTCATTATGGGGGTGGGATACTATTCCAGTATTTACGGTATCTATATGGGAAAAAAGAACCAAGAATCTAGGCAAGATTGAGCCCTTAACCTCTTGACTAAGATACGGGGCTCTTAGCCAGTCAGCCATTGCAGCCAGGCCATCAAAAACTTCAAAGTATTTGTCTAGCGAAACCCTTAAGTCTTAACGATACTTTGTGCTTGAATATAACCAATATCCAATATCCAATGCAATGCTATAAGGCCATTTTCAACAATTTCTCGATCTAATACTAGAAATGCTTCAATCTCACCTCATCTAAGTGATATTGACGAGATGAGGTGATATTGATTCAAGTAATTATCTAAAAAATCTAATCATCTATCATCTAAAACATCTAAGTAACACATAACAGTCCTAAATTAGCGAAAATCGTTAAACCCTAGCGAGTTTCGTTATCGATAAAGCTCGTTAGACAAGTTTTAAGTTAAATCAATCTGTTGGCAAGTTTCTGTTAGTCAAAAAACTTGAATGGAATAGAGAACGGTCACTTCTATTGATCACTTTACGTTTAATACCTCCAAGTACTTTGTGGATAAATTGAAAAGTAATTTAATGAGTCTTAAAACGATAACCAGAACTTTTGACAAAAGTATGGTGACAAAGAAAACCTTGTCAACGCCGCGTTCCCATAATTAGAGTTAGCTTTAAACTCTTTTCAGATTTGACAGGCAGTACAACAAGTTGGATAGGGGCCTATGTGTTGCAGAGCGAAGTTTTTGGTCATGACTACTTCAATTGGGTTTGGGATGATGACACGCCATGGGACTACGATCGAACAAAAGGTTTTTGTGGTGTATATAGATCTTCTAATGTTTATATTGTTAATGTTTGTGTTACATGAATGTTTAGACACAAATCCCGACCAAGTGGGCTATCTGAACTCTTCAGACGGGCAATGGTATGGAACGGATCGACGGGATCGAAAACCGACTCTATGTGTTTACGCGGCAATCGATCCCACTCAGCCAACCACCACACTCGGACCTGGGTGTTTGCCAGGTTAACTTTGTGAAAAGTTCTAAAAAAAGAAACTATTTATCAAGATAAACAAATCAATATTGGGCTGAAAAGTTACCTTTTTGAAATTCTCGTTTATAAATGACTAGTCGATGCTGTTTAATGACTAGCTGTTTAATGACTAGCTGTGGTTTGCTTTAAATAAAAAAGACTAACTATTTAACTTTCATTTCATTTCATTTAACTCATTTTTAGACAAATTTGAGCCAGATTTAAGCCAAATTTAAGCCAAAGTTAAGCCAAATTTGAAGCCAATCCGAACAGGAATTCTTGTTTCTCCTAAAATCCTTCCAATCGACATAGAATGAAAATGGCTTGGTGAAATTTTATGGAAATTTGTCTATCTGCCTAACTTTTCATTCTATAGAGATTTCGTTTATTAATTCTTTAATTCTTTAATTCTTTTCATTGTTTTGTCTTTTGAAATCAAATAAGGTTTCTGTGAAAAAAGGTGCTCAGATCGGAACTTCAAGTTTTATCGTTTTTGTTCGTTTTTATCGTTTTTGACTGTTCGACTTTTGATCTTTAAAAAATTAACTAACGTAAGCTTTTCAGAATTTCTTAAAGGACAATTTGTAAATAAATAATAGAACTTTTGGATAAAACAAACCATAAATTGATTGGTTTATTATTTATTTCGAAAAGTAACCTTTAAAAAAGGAGGCCAGACTTTTCGGCTAAGCGGATACTCTGGCCACAAACTTCTCGTACTTTTGAAAAGAGATTCAATTTCCCCAAATCTACAATAGTAAGACTTATTCTATGACTAAAGTATTAAATAATGGTTCTTTCCTTCATTGGCGGCTTAATTTTTAGCCGATCAACAAGCACTCTACAATTGTCGTGATGGGTGGCAGTATTCTCCGGACACCGGCTATCAATATTTGGTATGAATGGTTAACCAATCGAGTTTTCGACTTGAGACTTTCTTGTTAATTAAAATGCTTTTAATTAGGTGTTAGCCTCATTGCAAATTCATCTTTCTAAATCCAAAATAACCGTTCTTTTTCAGATTGCCTTCGACAAGAATTTCACTGGCGGTGAGGCGTTTTGTGTGACTCAAGGAGCGCATCTCGTCTCCATTCACAGTGAAGCCGAAAACGATTTTGTTCGAAGTAAATCAAATCATGTGAACATTTCAACAAAAGCTCTAAAGGACTTTGCTGTACTTCGGATGGCTCCTTCCTCGATCATATCGGCCAACTGGACAATGCTCAATATTTGACTGGAGGACAATGGGTGAGCTTGGTTTTTAGGGCAGAAAGTTTACTTGGCTTGTTAGGAGTTCGAAGTAATAAAGTGCGTAACAAAGTGCTTTTTTTGAATGTACAGGGGTGACAAAATTATGGAACGATAATTAATGGAAACGCATTAATCGTAAATTTTCGCAACGGGCAACAACTTATCCATAAAATTAAGGAAAAACTAATTAATTACAATGTTTAAATCTCAAAATGACCACCATTTGCAGCAACATTTCTTCAAGTGCTTGGGAAAGTGCCTTTTGGATAGTAGTCATTGCCCATGGCCAAAGCAAGTCGCGCTTCAAAAGGTCGATTGATCTGATTGATCTGATTGATTGATCAATCAATCAATCAGATTGATCGCAATCCTTTGTCTCAGAATAGACCAAATAGAATAATCAAGAGGGTTGAGATCAGGCAAGTTCGATGGCCATTGACCAGAGCTGACATCAACGGTGATCGAATCTGGAAAATTCTTAGCGATCCATTCTTGAACCTAGATCCTTTCGTTTCTTAGATTCGTAATTCCTTTTTGCTTTTCATATCTAATAACAGAGTGTTTAATAATAGTTAAAAGCAAAAAAAGAAAAAAACCCATACTGAAGAGCTGATCGCAAAGTTCGTTCCATAATTTTGCCGCACCCTGTATCCATGAAAATCCTGACTCCTATCACTAATTTTCAATCTTATGACAATCTTAAATATCTTCAATTTTTTCATCTGGTAATCTTCAATCTTAAATAGTGAAGTGATGCTAAAGTAAGAATTCAATAAACTTTTGTTTGAAGTTGAAAGAATTACTGTTTAAGTCCAATGATCAATTCACGTGGACTGACGGAACACCGTGGGATTTTAACGCGACATTTTGCGATGATGGCACTCTTGAGGATCCGTTAAACTACAGAATGCAGGTATTCTTTGAGAAAGGGTACTTGTGATTACTTTCGATGCCACTTTTAGATTTGAATATAATCATTGACATATCATTTAGCTTATATTTAGCTTATCCCTCCATCTACATACAAGAAGCTATATTAATAAAGAAGTGAAGGGACTGGCAAGAAAAATGGGTTTTTGGAGAGGGGATTGAACCCTCGACCTTTTACTTTCCGGGCAATTGGTCTAACCACTGAACTATCTAATACCTTAGCTTGCCAAGAGAAAGAACGGAAGACAAGGAGGAAGAAGAAAGGAAGAAAGAAAGAAAGAAAGAAAGAAGGAAATACCCGAGTCTTCAGAACTGTTGGCTCTCGCTTTGATTGAAAATCAAAACCATAGTAATATTACTAATGTACACTAGAAAGTCAATAAGAATTTAACTTCAGTTTCTTTCTGACAATTCCCCAGACACTGTACTTACTAATTTTCAACTCTAAGGCGATCTTTCGAATCGAACGATTCGGGTTTTGTCGGATTTTGCATCGGATCTTATTTACGTTCGCAGGCGTCACAACCGTAGGTTTACGGCCTTTTCCCTGTCGTTCAGACGTGTTTCCAAGTTCCTTGTAGCGTTTAATTGCATCGTACTTGTAATATTAGTAATAAAGATGTGAAGGAAGAGACCTTGAGAATCATAAAAATCCACCGAGAGGGGATTGAACCCTCGACCTTTTACTTTCCGGACAATTGGGCTGATCACTGAGCTATCTGATACCTTAGCTTGCCAAGAGAAAGAACGGAAGACAAGGAAGAAGAAGAAAGGAAGAAAGAAAGAAGACAATACCCGAGTCTTCAGAACTGTGGACTCTCGTTTTAGTTGAAAATCAGAACCACGTGTATTAGTAATAAAGAAGTGAAGGGATAAACCTTGAAAACTAAAGATGCAAATAGCGTCAACAAAGTCACAAGTAGGACCATAACCTAGTTGTTTTCTTTTTCAACGCCGCTTTTAATGCAAATTCAAAATTAATATGCAAAAGGGTGTCGGAAACAGTTGCTTTTCAATATCTTTCAATTCAAATGCCCAATCTCTTTTTCCAGGTGACCAATTGGATCGGATCGGAGGGGTGTAATGTGCCCTCGGAGTGGTCGTGGAATGCATTCTATGAGCAGATATCCGATCTCCCAGCCCCTTACGTTGTCTGCAAGAAGAAATAGCTAATAATAGTGAACGATACTAATAAATGGCTTATATTGTGAAAATTTTTTCCTAAACTTGCATGGTTATGCATCCATCAGAAAGCAAGGGGGGAAACCTGTGTTTGCATTGTATAACTGGTTTATCTGTTGCTAAAATACACTTTGAACCTTGCAAATTCCGATCCGTGCCACAAAAATACAAATAAGATACACTTTGAACCTTGCATCTTTCTTTTGTGGGGCTTTTGAAAGAGTTTATCACCCATTCCAATCGCAAAAAACTCTACTAATCAGGGGAAATTCCGTGAAGACGACTACTATTAGGTTGTTCGGATATAAACACGCGTTGTTGTGAGCGAAGCTTTTAAAACATATCTTTCTGTATTTAAAAGTATGTTATCTTGTGCATATTTGGAATCTTTTTAAACGGATAATTTCTTATTCAGCCGGTTTTCGAGTTTTTCAAGGCATCAATTCTTTGCGCAAAAGATGGCAAGAAGTAATCAATAATAATGTTGAATATATTTTGGATTAAACTGTGTTGTTTCTGTTTTTAAGATAAATTTGGTCAACGACTAAAACGCTCCTTTAGATCCGAACAACCTAACAGCTACAGTAGATTCACCGCGATTCAAGCGACTATTTACAGCTTGTAGACGATTCAAACGGTTTTTCTTGTACAATAGAGGCGTTTAGAGTTCTCGCAAACGGATCTCGTGGCAACGCCGACCGCTCTCGCTCCGTAATAGGTTCCCGCTCCGATGCCGGCCAAGCAACCGGCCAAGGCGCCTCCCGGTCCCGCGTAAATACAGTCATGGACAAAAGTCTTTTAACGTTGGTTTTTAGAAGTTTATTCTTTGTATATTCAAATCCGACCAATTTGCAAACGGTTAAATGATTTAAAGAGCTTATTGCTTATCAAAAGTGGAGCTTTGGTACTTCATCCGTCGAGTCTGGACAACTATTGGTCCCCAAATTCTACGTGATCTGGTTGACAGCATGCCAAGGAGAATTCAAGCAGTAATTGCGGCTCGCGGAGGACCTACTAAGTATTGATTTTCATAATGTTTTTCTCACCTGTTAAAAGACTTTTGTCCATCAATTTTGGCTCAATTTTTGTTTTATTAAAAAGTTCATGACACCTGAAAAATTGTTAAATCCATCCTTTTATAATGTGAAAATTAGAGATAATAAGTTCTTCAAATCTTTTAACCGTTTGCAAATTGGTCGGATTTGGATCAAGATATACAAAGAACAAGCTTCGAAAAACCAACGTTAAAAGACTTTTGTCCATGACTGTAAGGCCGCTGATTACGCCGAGCTGAAAAGTCCCTTCGTTGATAACGCTTAGCGCATTTTAAGTAAATCTTAAGCAAGACAAGTTAAAAGAAGACCTCATATTGCTTTTTGAATATGGTTCATTAAAGTCAAGTATTCAAGTAAACTCGTAGTTCCTAAGTTTCACTTAAAGCAACTCTCTCAACTGAGCTAGGATTTCAAGCTGGGCCATTTATCTCGTGTGGCTTTAAGCCTTATGGCTTTAAGTCAAAACTTAAAGATCTAAACAAAAGATAAGCCCTGGATTTCGTTGTTATAACCTACTCGTATCCGTTCCATTCCAATCGGAACCCGTTTCCGGGGTTCGTTGGTTTATTTTAAAAATTGAAACTTTTGAAAAAGGTGCTGGAAAAATGGTACATGAAGTACGAAAAGTTTTTCGTGAAGCAATCGCCGGAGAGCTGGTCGTGTAAACTTTGCCTTTAGTCTTGTCAAAAGTCGCCCAATACGAAGATCAATCCGTTTAATTAATGGGGAATCAAAGAAAATCAAGTACGTTTTCCATCTCTTGCACAATTGTCATTGAATCCCTTTTGTGCCAGCCTCTTCCGCAGAATCCCAGAGATTATTCAGTTCAGTCGGTTTCATTTTAAATGATTTTAAAATGTCATTATCGCCTAAGAGCTTAAAAAAGTTGCTCTTTTTGCATTCTAATATCCCAATACTTTATATATACTTTATATATTCCCAATTCTAATATCCCAATACAAAATGGCCGTAGCCGATTTTGATGCCGTTCAGATACAAACGTCGATGGGACACGGGGAATCCGATACTGTATTCAGTTTTTGCCCAGATTCAAAAATGTGTATATTTGGGAAACCGTGCGGGGCTTAGAAAGGCTCTTTTCCGATCCTCGGAATGTGGTAGGTGCAGATGGCTATGTGGTAGGTGCCGATCTTCTTTTTGCTTTCTGTCATGGTGTCACAGTCTGCGTCTCTTCAACGAGGGATTTCTCTTGAACGAGTCTGCGTCTCAGAACGAAAACTTGTTGTTTATCAAAAGCAAAAAAATGTTTTTTTGCAAAAGAATACCTAAAATTCGCTAGTTTTGATTGAATATCTAAATATTTTCGCAAAAGCTGTTGAATAATGCCAAAATCGGTACCAATTTCTTTCTCAACGATTCCGAATAAGTTGAAAGAACTAATATTGGACAAATCGGGTCCAAAAGAGAATTTTCAACTCTTAAAAACCAATCATTTTCTTCGCTATAAAGTCTTGTCTAACGGTCTATTCGGGAAACGAGCTGATAAAGTGATGTTCCATTTTATCGACGATTCAAATTCTTTCACTGCTACTGTCATGAAGAATGAATCTTCTCACGAATTCGATCTCTTACAACAAAATTCTTTCTCGATTTCACTTCTACAAAACATTACAACCGTTCGAAATTTGTCCTTAGCGGATGACTTTCACGACGTGGATAATTACGAAATGGAAAATTACGAGCTCGACAGCTTGCTCGAAGCTTTGCTGAGAAAAGTGAAACTTGTGAAAGATTTGTATATCGACGGGACTACGCCAAGTTGTTTGGACCTGATCTGTGAAGGATTTCGCTTTAAAGTCACGAGAAGCGCATATTTCAATACGGAAAAATGGGGAGACCTGGATACCGCCGACAATTTCATAGATTTCATCGAAACTGGACTGAGATTTTGCAAGGCAATTTCATTTGATGATTTACACGAAGAATTGTTCAAGGCTTTATTCAAGACTCGAGTTGAATTCATTGAAATTAACGCGCCCTATGGAATTCCGGAGTGTTGCCCAGAATGGATAATGAAAAACGGATTGCCCAGTGAAAACGAGAATTGCCGGATCCTCATCTCTGTTCCATTTCATCCGGATGATGGAGAAATAGAGGCTTTTACTGATAATCCTTTATTGAAAAGTGTAGAAGATGTGGAGCTTTGCAGAGAAATGGAGCTGGAATTGAGAGAAAGGATTGAGGACGACGTTGTGGATTTCATTTCAGTACATTGTTTTCAGAAGAGTGGTTGCGTGGATGATTTGAGATTCTTGGTGGCCAGAGAACCCGCTACTGGAAGGCTCGAGGGCGAGCGCGAGATGCTGCATTGCTTTGTGAGACGATTGAAGTGAGGCTTGTTTTTTCTGACTTTTAATTCAAATCAATCTTGGAAAGCTACCATAGTCTTGACTCGACTTTTATCAAACCTCTAACCTATTTAAATCTTTTGTGTGTGTTTCATAAATCATCAATTAACCCATGGTTTCAGAACAACGTTGAGAACAAGCATTACTTTATAGTGCACCATTTGAAACGAAATTTATCAAAAAAGTAATGCTTGTTTGCTTTAACTTTTGCGTTTTTAATTTACAGTTTTCTTATAACATTATTGTTTTTTAGAAATTCACATAAATTGATTTAAATCATTTTTTGTATTTGGTATAGTACTTGTGGATATTTGAATAGAGTGTGTTCTTCTTGAGGAATCACAAGGCTCAGTCAATGATACCAAAATTGGTCTACCAACGATGGTTTTGACTACGATAGTTTTCTGAAATGAGTGCTTTAGAAAACGCATTAAAGAAGAGGAACACACTCTATACTTGATCAATCCATTCAAGCTTTTCTTTCTTTAAGCTCAGTTTCTGTGACACTTTAGTTTCCAAAGCCATTGTCTTACTCAATGTCTTACTCTCCATGTTTCTGATCTAAGAATAATAAAAGTTATATAAAATCATCAAAAAAGCACAACTTAACATAATGGCAAAATGAATCAAAAACATTTCAATCAATTTTCACAAAAAATAGAACCAATAAACAGCCCGTAAATGTTTTACGAGAAATTTACGGTAACAAATTTTTTTAAACACATTGAAACGAACAAAAATTGTTGCCAAAAGTGTCATCAAAGATTGAATACAGAAAAGGAAAGTCACGCTATTGTACCTCACAGCAAAAATTTCTGAGTTAATTGGATATTTTATGTTTTTTTAGATGTAGCTGAGACCCTACACCTCATTTGAAAAAAACGAGCTCAATAGGATGTTAGGAAGTGGTAGAAATCGATCGTCAAAGTTGTGGCGCAAAATGTGTCGAATCCTTATACAAGAATTGAAGGATTTGACACATTTTGCGCCACAACTTTGAAGATCGATTGAGGAACTTTCCGGCATCGAATCGAACTGGGTTTTTTTTTTTAAATCTACCTGAGACTCTACGCTACTTGTAAAAAAAAATGTAGCGACCTTCGACAAATCAAATAAGGTTTCTGTGAGAAAAGGTACTAAAATCGGAACTTTGAATTTTACCGTTTTTGAGTGGTTTGGCGTGGATCCGACTCAATGGCTTCCTTCAATGCGTCGTTGTCGATGATTTGAGGTCGACTCCCGTGTTTTTGATCTTCCAAGCTTTCGTCGCCGTCTCGGAAGCGCTGGACCGCTGGACCATCGTTTACTGAATTTCGTATAGAGCATCTTCGTCAAACACTTGAGATAAGGCGCGATGAGCTTCAGCAGCCGCTTTGCCTTGCTTAAATTCATACCACAAGCAGGCCCGCAAGCGAAATTTTTGGTCTGACATTTTCTAAACACTCTTTCTTGTAAAAAAAACAAAGTAAACATAGACAAATTATATATCAAACGATGCGCAAGAACACGCTCTTTCCAATAGAATAAACTATTTAAAAAAATCTTTTACTGTGAATAAAA